CCCGCCCCGGCCCGCACCCGCCTCCCGCCTCCCGCCCCCCGCAGCCAGGTAGGGGCGGGCGCGGGCGCGGGCGCGGCGAGGACCTTGCTTCCCCTCCTCCCTGCGCTCCCGGCCGGCGGCAGGTCTGGCTCCCGGGCCCCGGTGCTGCAACATGTGGGGGCCCCCGCGGAGGCAGAGCGGGGATGCGGCCGCGGGAGAGCCCGGGAAGCACGGCCTGGACGTGGGACTCTTGCAGAAAGGGAGGCCTGGCATGCGATGCCCCCGGCTGCCCGTCAGCCTGGTCCCCAAGTGCCGCTGGACCGGGTCTGCGTGACCTCGGGCGAGGAGCAGGCGAAGCCGCTTTGGAAGGTGCCTTCTGGGGTCATCACGTCACTTAAGCAAGGATCCTAGAGGGTTAAATGTTCTGCCGAGAGATGGTGCTGGGGTGATGCGGCTTGTCTGTCTGTAGATAGAAGTGGTGCAGGGGGGCTCGGGAAGAGACACCACTTGCTGGTTCCTGACTGCTCTCTGCCTTTTATTGCAGACGGCTCGGTACCAGACTGGAGGTCTGCGACTCCACGGCGTCCAGCAGCAAAGCGGAGTTAGTGTTGTCGCCGCTGGGAAGGCAGTAATAAAGGAGGCAGGCGTGCGAGAGCAAGGCGGAGGAATTGGGGGTTCGGTGCAACTGGGGCTGTTCGCTCTCAGCTGGTCATCTGTCCCTAGGAAACGCCTTGTGCCGGCTGTTTGCTTATAAGCAATCTGAACTGGAGAACAACAAGGTCCTGTAACGGGCTGGTGCAGTTTTACTAGCCTCTGCTATTAGAAACAAGCAGGTCCCAGAGGCAGATCAGTCCATAACAAGACTTTTGTTCCTCGGGTGCAAAGAGCCCACACCCAGCAGCACCGAGCAGTTCACCTAGCCCGTGTATTTCCACCAATGTCATAACAGGCTGGAGCTAACTCTTCATATACCGTGATCAGAGCCACATAAATCCTTCCTGTGGATAACGTATAATCCCAGACTTACATACGTACAGCTCGCGTGCGTCCACATATTGACTGAAGCCAACTGCTACCCAACGGAGAGAGAAAACATTTAGGGGGATGAGGAAAGTCAGGGCAAGTTACCAAAATAAGCTGGAGTATGAGCCTTGTGTACAAGAGCCAGCGAGAGGCTTGAGTCATCCTCTGCTCGCAGCATTTCATTCATCTCCTAATGATGCTCTGAAGACTCCGAAGGAGCTGTTATGCATCCTGTCGGTGCTATTACTCCGCAGATCTTTGATGGGATCCATTGCAGCGGCTGGCAACGGGTCTGCCAGGCTGCAGCTTGGAATATTACTGGCTTAAAACAGACAGGGAGGCTACAAACATTGCAAGCTAAAAAGCTAATTGTCTTTTTTGCTATAAACACATTTACGTTACCGGGCAGGTGTGTTTTCCAAGCAGATGGACTGCAAAACTGTTCTCTCAAATACAGCCTTTTTTTTTCCCCCTTAGAGGATCCCAAAGAGCCTGTCCAAGACATAAATGACTTTGCCGACTTCTAGAAATGGCTAGAAGTACTAAAACCCTCCGAAGGCTCGGCTCTCTCTCCTCTAGGCTTCCCAGAGCAAGGCCGTCTCACTCAAACCGTAAGCTTTCTGAGGCAGAGGCTGTTTGTGTTTGTGTGGCTTGCACAAAAGCTCAGTGTCTTAAATAAATAATAATGATCCTGGAATGGAAATGTGGATACTCTGCATCCTGAATATCCCCCAGAGAATGGCTGTGGCTCCCTCATTTTCTTCCCCTTGCCTTAGTTCCCTTATCTTTTTCACATCCTCACTGCAGGTCTAAAGCAGAATTGGAGTAATGAAGCCATAATTTCTGATTTCTCCTGCTTGTGACATTTTCCCTGGCTTGCCTGTCTACTTTGTGGTCCTTTGCACATGCCTAAGGGCTGCAGTGTTGTATCCTCAGCTGTCACTATGGTCGGGGATAAAATCTTACAGCTGTCCCCTTTCGTCAGTCCTCCTTCGCCACCCGAGGTCTGCGGTCTAGCTCCAAACCCCTGCAAAGGGATGATTTGCCTTGTTCCAGCCTAACTCCTGGGATATGAGCAGCAACCCCAACATAAACACGTCTGCTCCCACAGGAGTGCACCATGACTCCACAATGATAGATTTCCTGGCCATCCCAAGGTTTCCGACCACAGCCCAATCCCACAGGGAACCATTTCTATATGTCGGATTCATTTTGAGAAGCAGCTGGAGAAACCATACCCACAAAACTTGTACCGTGCCTCTGGCAACAAACCTAGCCACCCCTCCCACATGCACATCTGGGGGCTCAAGGTAGAGCAAACAGGTTGTTTGCCATGAAGAGGTCATGGGACCAAATTTAAATAACTGAACTGTGCAGGGGGAAAAGTTCATCCCCAATTAGAGCATTTTATTGACTCTGCAGCCAGCTCAAACGTCTGACTCATTAGCTCTCCAAAAAGCAATTGTACTTTTCACATCTTTTCCTTCCTCAAGCGTCAGCTGAAACAGTTTTAAAAATATCTTTGCATGCACTTTGGGGGCATTGTCCGAATAATTATCAAGAGGGTGATGAGACTACATCAGCTTGCAAGGAAGTCTATCACATTGTGTGGGCTGAGGAAGCAAACAAAGATGAAAACACCCTTTCTCTGGCAACCTAGAGAGACCAACGTGCCCATGCAGTACCGACTGCCTATGCTGGTTTTGTTTCATAACCCTGATCTGGGTCCCATAATAAAAGAATTTTGCCCGGTCCTGTGATTAGTGCATCGCTGTGTAAGACCTACATGCTGCAAAGGTGCATCTGTTTTATTCAGGCTTTTCCGTAAGAGCCAGCTTGGCTTCCCTTCCACAATCCAGCCTGTTATTAATGCCATTCTCAGCCGCTCAGTTGTGGCTCTGGTCGGGGGACTGCTGACCTGCTTACATGACATGGGCAGAGCAGATCCCACAATACTTGCTCCCCTTTGCAGAGGGGTGGTCAGTGAGTGCCGTTTTCCCCTCTGCCAAGTCCCATGGAGATTTAGCTGCCCTCGGTCATTGTCTGTATTTACCAGAGAAAAACTATGGGTCCTCCTGCCAACAATACACACAATACCCAGCTGCGTAACTCATTTTCTGCACATGCAGCCAAGACCAATGCGGGGATGTCAGTGCAGAGAGGAGATCGGTGTCTGGATAAAAGGCGGCTGGCTCCAACTCAGTGCAAGCAAGGCCAAAATGATGTTGGCCAGGAGGGGAAAATATTTCAAAGCACCAGCCGGGACACTGGGCTCCCTCCTATCATAGGCAGCGTTACAGTGGTATAAAGACATCAGTCCTGCTGGACTCATTGCTGGCCCTGGATATCCAGGTATTGACAGCGTCCAAGAACTTCACCTTCTACCTACAACTTGCTAGGAGCTATAGTCCCTGCATCTCAGAGGAGGATTTGCCCACAGTGATCCAGTCATTTACTACCCTGCCTTCATTACTGTAACTCCTTCTATCTGAGCCTGAAAGTGGAAACAATGCATAGGCTCCAGTTTGTGCAGAACACAGCCGCCTGACCCTTCAATGAGTCGGACCACTGCAAGCTCATCAGCTGGGCACCAATCTTTGCTGCTGACATGGACCTGATTTCCAAGGCTGCCAGTGGATCAGGATTGAGCTACGTCAGTGGTCAGTGCTTCACCCATGACATGGAGCAGGGATGTGCCACTGCAGCATTCCTTCCTGCAGCCCCTCCACAAAGGGGACAACCCCGGAGCAAGTGAGCGATTTGCACAAGATGACCGAGAGACGGGCAGGATAAACACTGGACCTGGGACTCCAGCTAGCTCCCTAACCACCGGATCATATTTCCTCTCATATCATAGAGCCAATGCCCACAATTCAGCTTGGACTTTGCTGCCAATCACTAAGCCTGTAGCCCCACAGGTCAGGATGGAGGGGAAATATTTGCTGTGTGAGAATTTCTATTACATGCCCAGACCCAAAGAGGTTTAATTTCTGCTTGTACTTTAAGCCTTAAGGTCAATTTTTAAACAGAAAGCATTGCTCTCCACCCCATCCCCACAGCTGATCTGAGATGTTATGTCAGGAGTACAGGAAAGAAATGTTTGTTGCAGGAGTTTGGAAGCTCCTATTATTTCCTCCCTTAGATAAGGTCTTCGTGTCTAGGTAAAGCTGGGCCAGTGAATGGACAAAAACAAAAGAGCAACAACAGACACGGGAAGAGTGGGGCAGAATTTAAACAAGAGCTTGATGTACACAGTCAGGTGAGTTTGGGGCTGGCAAAAAGAGCAGTCCCAACAGCTCTGGAAATTGAAGGAGACAGGTTTGCGAAGGTATACACGTATCATAAGATACAGACAGGGCAAATCTACACATGCATTTATGCCAGCTTAAATTTACTATGCGGTAAATTACTGCACAGTAAGCGGGAAGAGGCCAGTGTCTACATGTGCACGCGTTAAAGCACATTAACACTGCATGTGTGAACTGACTTGGGACTAAAGTTAGTCCCAAGTCAGTCCACACACACAGTGTTACTGCACAGTAAGGTGTCCACATGTGTTACCGCACAGTAACTAATTGGGCGTAAATTTGATACCCGCATGATGTAGGTATCAAATTTACATTTAAATTGGCGTAAGTGGCCACACTTACCGCGCAGTAATTTTGGCTACTATGCAGTAAATGTGCATGTGTAGAGGCACCCACAGATGCCTATTCAGATTTTCAAAAGTGCCTTGATCCCTTCAAAAGCACCAGCTTGGCCTAAGATGCTCTGTTCCTTTTCAAAATCCCTCGGGCCAGATCCCCAAAGATGCCTAGCTCCCATCCTTTAGAGATCAGAGCAGCTCTCTGCTTCAGATGCCCAAGCATGGAACAAACCCTACAGGAGTAGAGAGAGTGTAGGCTTCTCCACTGCTGCCCCATCAATGTACTTTTAGTTCTTTGGGTCTCACTTAATCTTGCCCTGGGCCTCTCTGCCCAAGGGGCATCGAGTGGCATGGGCTTTTTTTCTCTAAAACATTCCCAGATGAATGCAATAGGAAGCAAACTGGGATTTGGTATTGGAGTGCATGTCCTTGATTTTTGCGTCTAGCTGAGCTGTACTTGGTCAGAACTAGGTGCAAAAGTTGCTGAATGTCACCTTTGCGCCTCTCCTCTGATGCATGGACTGGTTTCCTCAAGTCAGAACAGCTTCAAGGCAGCTCTAACATAGGCCAGTTTGTAAGGATGCCAAAACGCTGTTAGATCATCTAGGGATTACCAGATATCAGCTGTACTATGGCCACTGCCACCTCTCTCGTTCCATGTTTCCAAACAGGGGAAATCTAGAGGCCCAATTCAAGCAGCACAAAGGAGCTATAGCAGGGCCCAGGATCTAGTTTCAGTGCCCCTTTCCCACACCCGTCTAAAAGTTCCCCTTAAACAATCTGCTTGCAGCAGCCCCACCCTAAAATTAAATCTGTGCAGATGCTAAACCCTTCTCTGTGGATTTTCTTCTTCATGAAGGCAGCAGAAACAAGATCTTTCCTGGTTCAGATGTCTCTCCTCTCTGCCAGGCTCAGCCTCATTACTCATTAACACCTTCTTTGTTAACCTGCAGCAGCCTGCAGTGCAAGGTCCTTGTTCAGAGCAGAAAGCACACAGTTGTTCTCGCACCCTGACCCAGCTAGTCACACCTAACTAATCTGCCCGGTAACATCTCCTCTGTTTTTCATCTCCTGGGCCACAGCAAACACCTTTCGGCCGTGACTTATGAGCCAGTGATCAAGGCAGTCTCAGACAGCTGGAAAGAATCCACTGCACAGCTCCTGTTAATTTTTACCTGTGTTGCTCTCTACACCCAGCTGCACACTGAAGAAGCAGTTTGATCTGTGTCCTGCCCAGACAAGGCCTGGCTCCGGGATCCCTCCTGGCTGCATGTATTGACTGGAACAATAATGACATGGTGGCTTCCAGTGCCTGAGAGCTGTTTTTGACACTAAGGTGCCTTTGAGAACAAGCCATTTGCCCAAAATAACCCAAGAGTGAAGGAGCAGCCCAGTCTGTGTCTCTGCCAACTCACTAGCCTCAGGAGACAGAAAAACCCAGCTACTAGCCCTTTACACCTGCAGTGTAGCACAACAGCAGCTATATTGTCTAAGTCCAGGCTGTCTACAAATCATTGGAGGGCAATTTGTCTGATTAGAGTGAGGGGCAGATCCCTGAACTGTCTTCAGACTTCTGCCCCATTTGTTTCATGGAGACAACAGTCACTCACAGCACTGCGAGGGTTAACCAAGTACTATCCATGAACTGCTCTAAACTCTGTAAGCAACGGGAAAATGCCAAGTAAAACTCTGATGGGCCCAGGCCAAAAATCCCATGTTCCCGCAGTCAGAGATTATGAGGATGACTGATGCTGGACATTGCGGTAGCATCTAGGGCCTCCAGCATGGAATCGAACCTCATCGTGCTGGGCGCTGTACCGAGGTGAAAAAAAGAGGGGGTCCCTGCCCCAAAGTGTCTACAGTCTAAGTAAGTGCAAGTGCATCTGCTTAGCTCTAACACACAGCTGTCAAACGGAGCAAGCTTTACAAGGACTCCCCAAAGGTGCAAAAGCAGGACCAGAATCTGCATCTCCTCCGCTCTTAGGTGGTCATAGCGATAACAGTAGTAGCCATAGCAGCTCTCCACAGAGGGGGGCTTCCTACCACCACACTGCCCGCTCCCAGCCTCCAGCACCCACGAGTCAGCTCCACAGGAACTGTGAGGTTGACTTCAAAATCACAAACTTTAGTTTTTGTTCTCATCATGTCTTTTTCTTTGTCCTCTGAGGCCTGCACCATGAGGCTATGCTCAGGGTCAGAGTGTCACGCTCCTTTTTGCAAGGGCTAGGGAGGATTTTTAAAGGGAGCCTATATTAGCTTCAGTCCAGAAGTGGGGGCTTTAAGGCAGATGTCAGCTGTTGGGAGACTCAAGCAGCATTTGGTACCCCACTCCCAATGCCAAGGAGACAAGCAGGACTGGAAAAGAAAGGGGATCTCTGCCAGGGGAGTGGGGCACTGCACTGACTCTCATCACACTGTTCTCCCCACACACATACACATACAACAGGGATCTCAGGAGAGGGTTTCCTTCTTTTTCCCCTCCCCACCATGCTATTCCTTTGCTCAACACAGGGCCAGAATAAGGAAAAACCAAGTTCTGCTTTTTGCTTAAGGAAGGTTTTATCTAGCCCAGTCAGGACAAAAGTCCCTGGCGGTCTTTTGCCGAGCATCCTAATGGAGAGCAACAAACAGGCAGGCTGTTGGCAAAACAGCTAGGGTTTTTTTTTCTGTGCTTGAGAAGCAAAGGTACAGTAGTTCGCTAGGAATGCATGGGGAGTTGTTCACCCAGTGTGTGGAATTATAGGCAAGTTGCAACTTAAAAAGGCACCTTACCAAAGAAATCCCATTAGATGGCTGCGTGCATTATCCTTTTGCAACGCAGGAAAAAAGCAGGTGAGCCCTCTAGGTGAGGTGTTTTGCACCCTCTGGATGACAAGGACTATCGCAGCACTAAGTGGTATGATTTCCTTCCCCTTCTCTCATGATAGCAGCCACTTGTTTGTACATAAATTAAATAGCAGCATTTTTCTTTTTCACCAGCTTGCTCCAAGCAGTGATATACACAGGCCAGGCCTGGAGATGTCCCACTTTAAAGTCTATTGTCACAGCTGCTGAATAACATCATCCCTTGATGAATCATTCAGGCCAAGAGAACAGGAAGACTAGAAAAGAGAATGCTTCTCCTTGAATGCAAACAGCTTGGAGTTAAGTATGAAGGGGCAGGAAACACCAGAAAGCCTGTGCTGTTTTAGCAGAGCTGCCTGTCTCTGGCACACCCATCATAAGAGTACCTAGGTGCACTGGGTCATGATGGCACATGTGGTATAGTGACAAGCTGGCTGCGGTGAGATTGTGGGGGGAGTCCATTGGCTTACAGTGAGACTCCCGAAGGAGGGACACAGAAGCACAGCTGCCTGGTATAGGACAGGTGGGAGACAGCTCCTGTTCCCAGCTTGCAGTGGGTTAGCCTCGATGGCTAGCTACATACCCCAGCCCTGATTTGAGACTCCATTGCTGATTTACAGCAAGACATAAGCGCATGCTTAATATTAAGCACATGATTAGATTCCACAGAATTCGGTGGAACATAATCACATGCTTAAAGTTCAGCATGGCCTGAAGTGCTTTCCTAAATCAAGGCTCACGTGTATTTAACAGGAAACACTTTGTTTCAGCCAGGACCTGCTAAGCCACTGGAACAGAGTGTATGCGAACGACCTTCTCCAGAGCCCTTGAAATAAGCTCTGTGAAACTCCTATGAGCTGCAGGAGGAAGGAGAGGCGGTGGCTAGAGAGAAAAGGAGGGAAAGCTTTGTGAAATGTGTCTGAAACCAGTGGTGAGCAGCCTGATCAGGAAGGCACTGCCAAGAAAGATCTCTTAATCTCAGAATCGATGCATCTAGAAGCACGGCCCTAAAGCCTCTTTCTTTGCTAGTTGCATTGAACCTGTTTGTCCCAGGTATCCTGGATTGGTAAAGACACGAGGTTGTTAGCAAGAGCTGGGCTCTTCCTTCAGTGTGTTGTTATTGTAGGGTTGCTCATGCATGCTGAGGTGCACATACACACGCACACGCATACTGGTTTGTTGTTGCAGGGGTGCTTGTGACTGTCAGCCTCTTCAAAACCTGCTGGTTATTGGAAGGCTGCTGCTGTCAGGTAGGCCTGGGGGGTCAGGGTGCTTTAGACAAGGAAGCAGTGTTGTAATTAATTGTAAAAAAAATCTAAAAATGATCTGGACTGTACAAAGAGAGATAAAAGGGAAGGGGTGTCATTCACGTTTTGAATAAAGGCTGCTGCCTGTGCATGGCCTTATCTGACTTGCCGACATTCCAGCTTGTAAGCTCACTAGGGTGAAGCTGCAGGAATGAAGAAGAGAGGTAACTTTCTCTGTCACCTGCCAGGGGCTTAAATCAAGCTCATACCAGCCACTGAACTCTCTTCCTTCTGTAGAAGACTGAGAGCATCCTCAAAGACAGCTTGCTTTTTCTGCATCAGTGCCTGAACCTGCCTCTGAGAGGCACAAAGAGTCATGTGAATGCAGGACAGAGTGGGAAGAAGGACCACCAGTTCCACCTCCTTTGGGGAAGGGATGTTTGGCATCAGGGAAAAGAATTGGGGGCTCACTCTGCACTGCATCCCCACCCCTCAAAAAAAGGCCAGGAGCAAAGGGGACCTGAAGCATAGAGACCACTGTTATGAGCAGTGATGCTTGCATTAGAGGGTGATGAAGAAACCCCAATGGACCAAGAAGTGACCAAGAAGTCACCTCCTTGACAGCAGCATGGTCCGAATGGGGGAGGGCACTGGAGTGGGACTCTGGAGATGTGGATTCATTCCCAGCTCTGCCACTGACTAACTCGGTGGCCTTGAGCAAGTCATTTCACAACTCTGTGTCATAGCATCTCCTTCCATCCTTCAGGCTGTAAGAGTTCTAGGTCACTGCCCAGTCCTTCACCATGGGAGGGGGAGCCACTGGCTAAAAGCACAAGGGGGACAGCTCCTTACTCCTCCAAGGAGGCAAGAGGTCCCCTGCCGGCTCTGGCTCTGTGACTCCCGCCCTCAGAGACTCTTTCATCCTCCTCTGGGCTCTCCCTCTTGCCCACTCTCTCCTACTCTGTGAGGGGGCTGCTCTTTAACTTGGCATCAGCCATCGTAAAAAAGCCCCTTTCATGGTCTCCCTTCCCTTCAGGCCAGCAGAACGGGCCCTGGCGCTGAGAGAAGCCAGGAGCTGCCAGCAATCATAACCTCTCCGCGAGCCCTGGGTCTGGGCACCCAAGTCTGCACAGTCACTTTATTGTCTGAAGAGAGCAATTCTGTGGTCCGTCAGGAACTTGGGAAGGAGTGGGTGGATGGCAGCATTGGCTTCTTTCCTTTCATCTCTTGCCCTCTCTCCCAAGGCCACATGGATTCAGAGTCTGTTTTCTCTGCATTTCCTCCTCCTCCGCCTCCTCCTCCTGTCTCACCATTCTTCTTTAGTATCCCCATCCTCTCTCATACTCAGCCTGGGCACCTGCTCGAAAGCTTTTTATCAGCTTCTCAGCAGCGTCAGAAGTTCTGAATGGGACACATGGATGGGAAGAGACTTGTCCAGGGCCACACAGCCAGGACACGGAGTAGGACATGGAATCTGGACTTCCTGCTCCTCAAGCCATGGCTCTGACTGCAAGGCCAGCGCAGCAACAAGGAGATCTGGGGCGAATGCACACAGAAGCTGCAGAGCCTGGCACAGGCTGTTCCCTTCAGCCTGAGGTGCACTGGTAGAGCGCTACGGAGAACGGGCGCACAAAAGACGTCGTTCCTGGCCTCCTGAAATGTAGCCACTGTGTTCCCCAATGAACAGGAGCTGCACTAACTTCACACGGATGCAAGACCCCAGGGAAAGCGCTTGTTCCGCGCCCGGCGATTCCCAAATGTCTCCTGTCTAGTCGGTGGCGTCATTACAGACAGGTTAACCAGCCCTGCCCTCCTCCAGAGCAATCAGACTAGCGCTCAGGGAGGGCCTGCAGCTCCCGTGATTATCTCTGCCATCGGCTCAGCACTGCATTTACATTCCCCTTCCACAAATGATATGAAATTAAAGCAAATGAGTGGCATGACTGTGCCCCTTCCGTACATGCAAGCGCACAGGGCAAGGAGAGGGCAGCCATTACGTGAGGTTGAGCCTGTGACACAAAGCAAGTCAGGCAAAGCAAAGCTCCCAGCCCATTCTCCGTCCTCAGCCAGGGCCCCCGAGGTCCACTCGAGAGCATTAGGTGTGGAGGGAGTTTGCCTTCTTTGGCTGCCTCACATCACAGTCTGAAACATCTTGCACTAAATCCATCTCTGGCATAGTACTGAAGTCAGCACACTTACAAAGGGAATCACCTCGGTCCATCTTGTGAGGGGACTGCCTGCTAGCATCAGAGAGATCAAACTAATCCTTTGGATATGTGAACTGCATCCTGAAGTCCATTACTGATGCTAGCAGACTGTCTCCTTTAAAGCAACTGGACCTGACTTTGCCTCTATCTGTCTGTTGGATAGAGAGCCCCCAACACTGCAGTATCTCAGCACTGACCTGTAGAGGCATGCACAAAGGTGCATTTAAAAATACGTGCTAACCACAAGCTCGCGCACCGGCCACGCCCTCCCATGAGGCCAGGTGATAGGAGAGGCTGCTCCAATCAGCACAAACCCTACTGATTTGCTAAAACTGTATTTTGCAAAGGTCTCTTTCTGCCAAAACTACCAATCTTCTGCTCCTGTTAGTCACTGACAGGAAGCACAGGCTCTATCAGAGCCTGCTGCTGGCACGGAAGGACTGATAGATATCCCGAGCACAAGGGCTGTTATCTATGGAGGAGATAATCTTGTGCCAGCCAGCAGTGGACACTGATGTGACATGAGGGTGTGGGACATGGAGCACGTGGGGCAAACTCTACCAAACAGGGCGATGCAGGGAATCGGGGTCGGAGGATACACTTGCAACAGCCTGATCTCACTGCCAGGTTGAGGTATAATGGGAACAGACCAGTAGCAAGAGGCAAGACAAGCAGAGTCTCAGCCAGAAGAGTCAGTGAGCTGTTCAAGGCTTTTCTAGTGTGGCTCCACTCCTCTTTGCTCCCTGGCTTCCAGAGCGGATGTTACGATATTGCGCTGGGCTGGGAGAGCAAAATCCAACTCATGCCAAGAGAAAAATACACTGAATGAGAACAAAGGAGTAGGAGAGTGCCACACCCTGGAGCAGAGAACAAGGCTTGCACTATTTGAGTCACACTGCTCATCCACTCCCCCAGGATGTCTCGGGAGTCCACGGGTATCAGCACAGGAGGGAGGGGGCCACACACAGAGCCAGAGCCATGGAAACGCCTCTCTATACACAGAGGCATGGAAATCACAAGCTGCAAGTCATAGAAATACATCAATCTACACACCAAGCCAGGGACATACGCGGGGCACACACAGAGTCAAAACACACAGCCAGAGAGATGCTCACAAGCTCAGGATCTGCCGGGGAAACACACACGGTATCAAGGAAACATATGCATTGGGTCAGAAGCATGAGGATGAACGGTGTCAGGGGCAGGGACGGACACAAATGCACACCAAGAGTCAGGGACATGCCCTGGGAAATGTGGAGATTCACAGCAAGACACAGGGCGCACACAAAGCAAGGAGTAGACAGTCAAGTTCTCTCACACATCCTGAATCCACTCCAAACACAAAGACAAGGAAATATGCACGAGGTCAGGGCTGGATCCATACAGTCCAGGAGGCACGGAGTCATGACTCCAGACCAGCCAGGCACTCAGGCTTGCCAACACCAGGCACTGAGTCACTCCACCCAGAGGAACCAGCTAGCCATGTCTTGGTGCTGGGCCAGGGGTAGAAAGATGAACTTCCTCCTGCCTCACTGTCAGTGCAAACCTCAGCAAGCAAGCACGGCCTCAGATGGAGGCAAGAAGGCAAACCTCAGCAAGAAGCACTGCACTCGGGACTGCCTCATCCCTGTACTCCCTCCTCATCAGTATCCTGGCCTCTGAAACCTGCGGTGGAAGCTGTTTAGCCTTATGTGATGCCCAAGGGCAGGCAGAGCAGAGGCCGGAGTTTGGGGTGGTGACATTCACATCACGTATGTCATTTGAGCACCTGCACACCTCAACAGCTGCAGACAAGCCAGAGCATTGCCCAAGGATAGATCAGACCCCAGCATCCCTCTCCCAGCACACTGCAAGTCTTCCTACATCAGCTGTCCCTCCGGGAAAAAGCCAGCAGAAGGAATGAGGCTCCTGCACACAGAAGGTCCCACTCTGCTTCTCTGGCCTCCATCCCTCCCAACAGAGACTGCTGTGCACTACGCCTTGAAAAGCCACTGTGCTAAGGTGCTGTGATCAAGAGGAAAGGCCTGTGTTTTTAGTTACAAACTGAGGACACATCCTGGTTACTGGAGACGGAAAGTATTTGCAGGCAGAGGGCTCACGTGCAGATGTGTCATGGCTGCAGCGTATGTACCAAGTGGAAACTTCATTCACATGCCCTCAGGAACACCTCGCCCATTTTCTTTTCCGCTCTGTGGGAAGACTGGACACCCTGTCCCTTCCTACAGCTGGTTTCAGTTCTTATCCCAGACAGCTATAGCCCTTGGACCTCACCAGAGTCCACCTGCACCATTTCACAGCAGGATCCTGCTTCGGCAAACTCTCCAGCATTAGGAGTTCTTGCACCACCCACCCACAGCGCCTCCTGCTGAAAGAGAGCAGGACCAGCACAGCAGTGACCCATCACATCAACACCATCCTGCACAGCATCCCTCCTGGAGAAAGCTTGTTACAGCTGCTCGAAATCTGCCCAACCTGTCGAGCTGTGGTGTTCAACACGCAAGGAAATCCAGCAGAACCGTGTGCAAATAACCAGAGCTCGCTGGGCGTGAGGAAGACTCAGTTGCAGGTGTGCTTTCCAGGCTGATGAGGGTTTTGCCCTTTAAGGCACCATTCCTTTGCTAGAGGCCATGGGTCATAAATCGCTCTCACAGGGCAGAAGGATAAGGTTATAATGAGGTTGGATGGGAAGGGAGGTGGGGACTGGGCAGCAGCAAATGGCAGAGAGGGGAGGATCAGGCAACAGTGAATGGATGAGAAGACAGGGGTCAGAAAGGGAGAGCAGGTCGGGAGCTGGTATACGGGGTGGGACAGAGGCTGGGGCTAAGCAGTGGCAAAGAGGAGGGGCTACAGCTGATAGGGAGTTAAAAGGGAGCTGCTCACTTGCTACTGTCCATATTAATAACACTCAGGGCCTATACAGCACTGATCAGCCATCAGTCCCAGCACGTCTGGTAAGGAGGTCACTACCCTTATTCCCCTTTTACAGATGGGGCAAGTGAAGGGCAGAGAATGGATTTGTTCACAGTCGCACTACAGGGCAGGCTGGACAGTCTGAGACCTTTTGCAGTATCCATAGGTCCTGAGGACTTCCCCGCAGCCATCACCGATTATTTACAGCCATTTATAGTGACGAGAGCCCAGCAAGAGCAGCATCAGCCAGTCGCGGGGGGCAGGGAGGAGTGCTGGAGGGGCTGCCCTTGCTCCAGAAGAACTTGTGATTGGGGTATGGTGCCTCTGTATCAACCTGCCAGCTGGGCCCTCCCCCTCCGCTTGCTCCCAGCTCCCCGGTGCCAACGTGCACTCTCCCCAGAGATGAAAGGACCTGTGCCGGCTGGAGGCCTGGACTCTCCCCACTTTGCTGCTATCTGTGCTGGCAGCCCCCCCAGGAAACACTCTCACTCCGTGCACGTCCCCCCTCCCGTCATTTGCTCACACAACTGCTGGGAACCGGCTTTCCCACCAGACCACCGTCTCCCGGGCAGATTGCAGAGCAGGCCTGGCAGTGAGTGCAAGGAGGGTGGGAAATATGGGATTCCCGGCACCCCGCCCTCCCCGGCGTGCACCCGCCCATGTGACAGCACACTCCTGCCAGGTGTTTTTCAACCTGACATGCCCAAGATGGAGGCTGAAAGGAATTTATCGTGTGAGGCTGATGGGCGGCTCGTGCCAGGCTGGGCAGCCAGCGGGCAGGCTGCAGGCAGGACTCAGGATGCTATCGGCGTTATTCAAGGGGAATGGAGCCCAAGATTCATGTGGCTGCTGCAGGGAACCTGCTGAGCTCAGGAGACTGCTGCTGACAGCTGCTTAATGGGACGGGCTGGTTATGCTCCAGCACTGTCACCTTTGAATAGCACCAACCAGGACCCCAGCTCCCTCCCAGCGGCATCCTGTCAGGGCCGGGCAAGGATCCTGGACTGTGACCTTCCTCCCAGCAGTGCCCTGTGAGTGCCGGGCCTGGCTCCAAGGCTGCGAGTTTTCCCCAGCAGTGCCCTGCGAGTGTCAGACAGGAAGATACAAAAAGCCAATATCCTAGCATAGTAGCAGTGGCTCCTGGGAATGCCAGCCAAGCAACACTACTGGCTACAGCTGGGGGGATGTATGGAAGCAAGTGCAATGCTAAGTTTCTCCTTTCTCTGTGGAGCCCACCCGCCTGCCTTGAGAGGAGAGCTTTTTCTTCTGATCTGATCTCCCAAAGTTATCCCCCCCACTGGGCATGCACTTTGCCAGCCTTCTCTGGATTAGCTCCCTCCAGCCTTTCCCATGATCACAGGGCTGCTTTCCAGTATGTTGTGTTCAAGACCTACTCCCTCCACTGATGGCTACTTTGCTGGGGCTTGGGCTGATACTTCAGTGAGGATAGATCATTCTAGCCCCTAGGGCCAGGTCCCCACAGCTAGTAACACTGACAGTGTTTCCTACACCAACTTCTGCAGGGAGACTCTGAGAGTGAAGGGACTAGAGCCCTTCCTGCCATGACCAGCACTGCTACAGAAAGCTGGGATGGGAGCAGCTGCACCCACGCAGGTTCTTGCTAGGAGAAATGACAGTATCCTGGAGAGCGACTGCCCCTGACAGAGGACGGGGACCAGCAGAGCTGTGAACGCCAAGGGGCAGAGGCTGCTACTGTGGGAGAATGACCCTCTCTGGACTGGAAAGTCAGCTGGGTCTAATTGGACCAGCAACTGAAGCAGCAAATACCCTCTTAGTTTGCATGCAATGATGTCAGTATAAAAGTCCTTATGGCAGCATAGCATAATCCAGGTCAGGAAATAAGTGACTGCACATCAGAACAAATGAGATGGGCAGAAATTATCTTTAAACAAGTATAACTGTGGATACTTGAGGGTTTTTGCTGGAGTATCTATATAGGTAAAAATAACCCCCTAAGCCATAGGATTTTATCTTATGTGCATAGGCCAGGCCTTAATGGAGCCCATGCTATGACCTCTTCATACCAGGCCTCCAACTAGCTCAGGTATTACCAGCTCATCAGTATGGAATCAGCATCTGTCATGTGTTTGTCTTCCTCACCCTGTGAGGCATGGAAGTGCCTTTATCCCTGTTTTGCCGAAGGATGGCCACAGAGACATTAAGTGGTTTGCCCAAGGTCACCCAGGAATTCCATAGCAGAGCTGAAATTAAACAGGGGTCATCTGTGCCCTGTGCTGGTGCCCAGACCACTGGACCACGCTTCCTGTTTCCTGCTGGAAAGGCCAGTAATAGAGCATTCAGCCTTGAGCACAGCCCTTTTATGCAGAGAAAAAAGGAAATGTGATGGCTTGAGATGTTTTGTGACCTCCCAGAACCTGTTTCCTGTAGAATATATGAAAATGCCCCTTTCCCTGCCAAGCCAGAAGGTGCACGTGTCCTGCTCCCACCTTCTTTCCCCTTCATCCTGGGATCAGAGTCTCTCTGCCATGCTTGGTTTTCTGTGGTTAGCCCCTCTGCTACATTAGCTCCAAAGGGAGGAACAAATGAAGAGAGAGAAGGGGTAAGACTTCTTCCAAGTAGAGCAAAGCCAGCCCCTTCCTGATTCCCAGTGAGACCTTTGCAGGCAGCTCCGCTGCGTGGGCTTTGAATCTGCCAGGAGCATGCTGCTGCAGCCTAACAGTCGGTTTTTGTTTAATATGTTTGTTTGCCAACAGCCACTCCTCTCCGATCAGAGCCAGATTCCCCTAGCAGGACTGAGGAGGTGCAGGAGAACCAGCTGTGTCACTGCAGGAGTTGTGAGGAAGGAAGCCAGTGGGAGGAGAGCAACTCTTCGAGGCAGGGCTGCTGTGGGTGATTCAGCAGACGGGGCATTCTCCTCTAGCAATGAAGGTGCAGTGCTCATCTACAGCACCTCTCCCGTCTGTAATCCCAATATGTGTGCAATCCACTGTCCCCTTCTTAGAGCTGGGGAAACTGAGGCACAAAAAGGGGCTGCGAGGCCAGTCAACAAGTCAGTGGCAGAGCTGGGAATAGAGCACTTAGCTAGAAGGACAATAAACCAGAATATCATAGTACAACAAGGCCAGTCGTGACCTCAGAAGGTCACCTCGTCTAACCCTCTGCTCAAGGCAGGATCATCCCTGTCTAAACTATCCCAGATAAATGCTTGTCGAGCCTGCACTTAAACACTTCCAGTGGCAGAGATACCACAGCCGCATGCACGCTTTCTGATGTTGTAGAAAACCCTTAGGGGGGAAACAGAACCCAGGTGTCCAGCTTCCCAGGCTGTCTGGTGTAATCATTAGACCGCATTCCAGCCCCTGAACGCTGTTTCTTGGCGGTGCCAGTTTGTTCTAGTCCTAGATGTGATTCCTCATTCATATTTACTACTGTAGGTGACCAGAGAGTGGAATAAAGCCCATTTGTGTGGAAAGCCCCATGGCACTTGAGATGCAACACAGCCAGGGTTGAGAGGGCCTCTCTGGATGACTGCCAGGAGCACTTTGGGATGTCCGTCTGTTGAGCCTGAAGATTTGGGCCCAGGTGGAAGCAGCAGTGTGTGCTGTTCCGAGGGAGACAGAATGGTAGTTATCAGTGATCAGCTAAAGCCTATGTAATTTTTAACTGAAAAACAAGAGCCAGGCCCTGCACTGCATTTCTCATTGCAATCACTGGAAGCAAAACCCTGGGTAATATTAAACCTGCCTCCTGTCCAGGTATGTAAGTGTAACTAACTGAGCCACCCATCTGCTGAGAAAGCTTTAGGAGAAGCCAGGGAAATCAGGAGCATAACTCACTTTCTTGGTGGCCTCTAGCGGCCAAAGCAAGGCATTTAAACTTCAGCAAGAGCATCTCAGTAAATCACGTCTCTCCACTCCTACTTCACCAGCATGACAAGCTCCACCGAGCACTGCCAAAACTGGAAGAGACCTACCTTGTAGAGGACCTTACTGTGCAGGGAGCTGGAGAGAAGGGAAACCTCACACAGAGAAAGAGAACCTTTCGCCAATCCTTCCCAAACGTGTGGTGCCGTCTGGAAAGCCACACAGGGCAAGAGCGATGATTCACATTTTCCCAGCAGAATCAGATGCAAGTTTCCAAGGGTGCTGAACTACCAGAATGCGGAGAATGGCACAGCATGGAAGCCTGAGCTTAGGGCTAAACTATGGGGAAAACAAGCAAGCACAAAGGGCAGCTATTTGCAAGCTATGTGACATGGACTCTAGTTCTCAGTTAAAGCAGGCTCTGTTTTTACCATCACGTAAAGGGGACAGCTTGTGCAATCCAACCTGAAGGCATGGCTCCCAGCCCTTGACACTGTAAGACCATAAATTACCATCAGTCCCAGGAATTTTCTAGCTCCCCACAGGGGCAGACTCTTGCAGGGACCCAGAACATGAAGAATATAATTTAAAATCACCACGCCCTCTCTGCCCAAGTGCAGGAATTGTATAACTGAGCCTTGTATTTACATATGTGCATGAGGACAGTGCTTGGTTTTATGGGTTTTATCAAAATGCAGTTAAAATTACAGTGAGGAATGCAGGGTGTATTGGGAATAGCAGGCTGAAACAATGGAAGGAAAAGACAAAGGGGAGAAAGGGAAAGTGTTCAAAGACAAAATTATAATCTCCC